GCACGAGATTACCTAGCTAAATTAGGATTTTTCATAGTTTCATATAAATAGGATCTATTATTATTCATTGTAAAGGAGACTTTGATTATTTGAGAGATTTAAATTAAATTTGAGAGTTTTATTCCTTTATGTTCTTGATGGTTTAAAGTTCTAACTTGAACTTATCAAAAGGTTTCGCAATCCTTTTGTAGTGTTCCCACTTCACGGTTCTTGTTCCGGGTAATCAACGGGTCGAATTTCTTACACATAATCTCAGATCTTGATACGGGTCGGGTTGATCTTTGCGCGACGTGATTTCTAACTTTCTTTGGTTGGTTCCATCTTGTTTGTGGGTTCCAAATATCAATTCTTGGTTGGGTTCACATCAGTCTCCATCATCACCTTTCAATTTATTATCAAGCTCCCCATCAGTAGCTATGGAGATTGAGCTTTGAGAAATAAACTTTGCTTCGCAGGCCTCTAGTTTCACACTGCTATTCAGCTTCCATCTAGGGCATTATTCTCTAGCAAGGGAAGAATCTTGAGGAGCCTTTGCAGAATTGACCCAAGGCATGGTGTATAAACTAGCAGGCCATGATCGCTCAGCATGAAGTTCAGCCAATTCGGGCTTATCACAGTTTTTCTGGAGCACATTCGAAATAAACTCGCCCTTGCAAGAGTTTGGAAGGACCACATTTAGTCCAGCCATTTCGTTTCCATCCACAAAAGACTATTCCATTTTCACAGTAGTGGTCTCAATATCAAAGCAAGATGTCGGAGGTGTTGAGATTGTGTTGTAGGTACCTGCATCAGTGTTTAGGACGGGATTTACTGGAGATAAGAGCACTCTTTTGTGGACAAAACTCTTGGTTGATAGAGCCAGCAGCCACGAGACCTTTCGTAGTTGGATCAAACTTCCCTCCATGTCCTGAACAGAGACGAGCACACTTCGTATTTTCTTTAAAGAACGATTCACTTTGTTTATTTTATGGGATGCCCAACTTGAGATTCCACGTTGTCTACATATCCTCTTGAGAGTGGTAGGACATACTACAAAAAACACAAAACTCGAATATCCAAGTCATCCTTGAAAAGTTCTTCAAACAATATGATATCAAAGATAGTTACATCTCATAAAAATGTAACTCCAAAGGTTTTCCTCTTTTTTTTTGCATAAATCTTCTTTCCAAGATTATGCAGTTCTTATGATTAGGTTACCAGTTTTCTTCTAGTTTCAACTAATCAGTCTAATTACATGCTTCCCCAGGAACGAATAAAAAAAAATTTAGCAACAACATTAAGTTCTCAAAACATATTCTTTGGAATCCCAAAATTTACAAGTAATGGTGAAATTGAAACTCTGGTATAACTGATTGTACAAACTCATTATTAACATAATTAATTTAACAATCTTGAACTGATTATATGTGGTGATTGATACTCGAAATCTTTGCATACCAAGATACTAGATCCTGTTCTGTAAATGAATATGTATACTTGAATAAAGTTCACAATAGGGGAATGCATAACTGATGATAAATTCAGTATACCATTCACTAATAAGGGATTGGGGAAATACTCGTGGTTCAAGCATGCAACATGTTGCGATTCATGTAATTCTTTGAAATTTATATATGAAGACTTACCACCAATGCCTTTTTTGCTGCATCCTTTAGGCTTCCAGAAAAGTATTGCTGAAGAACACTTAAATTCACATGTTTCTCGGCTGTGCTACGTATCTTCTCCTTCTGCCTCCTTGATCTAGCCATTATATATAGTAATTTTAAGCAGTAATACAGCTCAATTCTGCTAGCCAATGAAGACAGTAGATTAAGTAGATCCAGTGCATATCATTCTTTAAAAAAGAATAACAAATATAAGAAAAATAAATACACTATAGAACAATTTGCTATAATGATCCTTGGAAATTTAACCGATGTTATAATGTATGTCTCAATTATTTGTTTGAACGAAAAATAAGCTTAAAGTGCTTTCTCCATTTACTAGTGTTCCAAAAAGCGTAATGCGTGGAGGCCAAGCTTCGGTCAATGCGCGCCTATATGAGGCTTAGGCATTGAAAGGCATAAAAAAAATGTTTTTTATTTTTATTTTTTTATTTTAATATTATTTTTAATTTTTAATCAATTTAAGCCCCTGTTTGTCTACAATTATTTCAAAAAATTGTTTGCTGCAGTAAGATTATCCATTACACATTCTCCCAATAAAAAATTCTACACACAAACCAATAAAGTTACTTTACTTTTCAACCACACATTCTCCAAAAAATACTATTCATTACTCTATTTTTCTCCTAATAGTGGAAGACAAACACACTCTAAAAATCATTTAACAATATATACAAATTATAGTGCCAAATGCAATTTTAAGAGCTTAATAAAATAAATTTATTTTCGAAAAATAAACAAGAGATAATATAATAGTGCAAATTGAAATATTTGGAGAGTTTTAAATTTTCTTAAATAGTAAAAGATAGGAAAATGATTAATTAACTTAATAAAATATAAAATGAATATTTATACAATAGTACAATACACTAAAGACAAATAAAAAGAACAATACATTACAGACAAACCAAAGGTACAATGTACTCTAGCCAAACCAAAGGTACAATGTACTGCAGCCAAACCAGAGGGATTATTATCCGACATCGAAAGTTGACAACAAAGTTTTCCGTACCTCTTTGGATGTATTTTCAGTACTTGACGTTGATGCTTTCGTCGTGTTAGCAGATGAATAGCCATTTCCATATTTTCTGTTTTGGATTTCATCTTAATATAAATAAAAGTAGAATGAGTTGTTGGGATTTAATTCTCGTATCTATGTAATGTATGCATATGCGTTATGATTAGATAGACATGTCAAAACGGGCCCAGCCCGCACATGACTAAGCCCGTGTACAGCCCGTTTAAAATAAAAACCGCCCATACGGGCTTTCTGGGCCGGTCCGGCCAGACCGGGAAAAAAAAAACGTGTGTCCCGGCCCGGACCGGACCGCCAAGCCCGCATGCTACCCGCTCTGCCCGTTTTTTTTTTCTATGAATGGTAAAAAATACATTTTATAATTA